AATAATTGTCAATACAAGCTAACGTTTCATCACGTTCCCTGGGAAGTGATAAACAGAAGAACTCTGATATAAGGACACACATTTATTACTTTTTATTTTCACGGACCTGCCGCCCCAACTGAAAAGCATAAATTACACATAGAAAAAATAATTTGTATGTTTCCCACTAGTGACATAGAACCTCTCATACAATATTAATAATTTTTAATAATTAATAATTAATAATTAATAATTTTATATAATCAGTGATTCAAAAGGCCAGCTGCAGTTTTAACTCCATGACAGAATGACTGTCATTTCAACAACAAAAAATTGACATTTATTTTTAGTTTTAGTTTTATTTCAAGTGACCTTGGGTGGAAAAGTTGGAATAAATCTGTGAAACAACATTAAAAAAGTAATTTGATGATCAAAAGGTATGTATTGAAAAAATATATAATCTTATCTCCATGAATGTTAAGATCTGATTAGTCCACATTATTTTGATGAAATACTACATATCCGGCCTCGGAGGTAAATAAAGTTTCTGAGCGGGAGAATAAATCCCTTATACCCCACTATGAAGAACACAGGCTGCACGTGTATTTCTCACCGGGAGAATAAATAGCTTGCGAAAGAAAATTGTGCACATTGTTTACATGTCAATGAAAGTCACTATACACAGCACACGTTAACCCCAGCTCAATTACACAGCTGTTTTCTATCATTTTCAATTTTTTTTAATTCTTTGTGACACTGGTAAAGTTATATTATGTGATCATGGTATATAACATAATGACTGTATATGGAATGATAACATAGAAAACAGAAGCATTAACAATAACATAAAAAGTCCATCTACGCCATCATACATTAATTGTTAGATTTTCATAATACAATGCTTCTTGTAGCACATTTAAAATTAAATTGGATGAAAATCTAAAAATGAATGTATTTTGGCCATTTGATATTCTCAGGGAGGGAGGTGGGAACTTTACATGCAGATTAGATCTTTTTTGCAGCTGCAGCAGAAAAAAACATATTTTTTTAATCAAAACTATGAGACTCAATATCTTTTTTAGAAAAATACTTTCAACAATGTAATTTTTGTGGCTGACAATTTCTCTCTTTAAACAGTCCGAACCATAATGATTTTTTTCAAAAAATTTCTGGGACAATATATTGTTTTGGATAATAAAATCCCAGCCCCCCCAAAGAATATGTTTTTATGTCGCTTTTAGCAATAGTCCAGCAATATCAAGGTGGGGGGAGAGGGCCCGGAGAATTGGCTTCACACATTGTACCCATGTGGGGAATAGAACCTGGGTCTTTGGCGTGACGAGCCAACGCTTTAACCACTAGGCTACCCACCACCCCCTAATTGTATCAAAAGGTTGGTCCCTCATATAAAATGCAAAAATCAACTCTAAGACTAATATTTAATTAAAATAAAACAACTAATAACAAAACATGTTATAAGAAAATAGCTTTTCCTAATTCAAAATGTGTATATAACATTAGAAACATAAACAAATGTGTTTCATTAGAAATCTCGTAAAGGATGCGATTTAAAAAAATAAAAAAAATAAAAAAAATAAAAACTTGTTCCAGGTGTATCCATGACAACAAAATCTGCATCATGTGACACCAGACATGCTCGTCAAAATTAGTCACCTAAGCGAAATAAATTCCATTCTGAGTTATGATAAGAAAGACGGAGATGGTGAACTCAAAGAAGCCAGAGTAACAGATGGAAAATGGAGGACTTGATAACAACAAACATACAGGTGGTGAGGTGAAATGGGGTTTAACGTCGCGTCCAAGGTTATTGCACTTATATAGCGACGTGCATGTACGTGTGTGTGTGTGTGTGTGTGTGTGTTCGTGTGTGTGTGTGTGTGTGTGTGTGTGTGTGTGTGTGTGTGTCTGCTTGTACTAGTCCGGACTGATGCCGATTTATAGAGCTAGCTCACTGAGATACCATGCCGCAGTTTAACATGAATAGCCCACTCAGACACAGTATACTGACTCCGAACCGACCAGTCCTTGTTTTAGCCCCTTAATGCCGAGCGCCAGACAGGGTAACAGCAAGTACCATCTTTTAAAGTCTTTTGGTATGACGCGGTCGGGGATCGAACCCCGGACCTTCCGCTCTCCGGGCGGACGTTCTACCACAAGACCACGGAGGCGGTCACAAACATAGTAGGCATACAACAATAGAAAATAGCGTGTACAGCGTAACCACATCCAGTAAACTACGTTTATAACGAACACGCTTATAACAAACTGACCAATATAACAAACTTATATTTTAGTCCCGGTCATTTGTGCATATCTGCTATATATGCTTATAACAAACTATGGTTATAACAAACTACGGTTATAACAAACTACGGTTATTACGAAATAAAATTAGTGGTCCCTTTGAGTTTGTTATAACCGAGTTTATTACATAGCACTTTACTAGGACGGAATGGTCAAATAATACAACAGTGGTCGTCATACACAATTCTTTAATAGAAACAAAAACAGATGAAGAAAATGTATAATAATAAAGTTAACAGAACAAATTGATGGTTTTTTCTGGAATCGCCTTCACAAGCTCAGTTTCTGTAGACCCATACCGCTTTCCTGAAAGATTCCCCGATTCGACAGTCAGAGAATAAAGGATATGACTTGTGTCAAACTTTATGTGCCTGATACCTGAGTGCTGTTTAATTAAATTAAAATGTTTTGAGAGTCCAATACCTGAAGTGAACTGCATACACTCCACCACCCCCACCCCCCCCCCCACCACCACCACCCCCCCCCACCCCCACCCCACCCACCCAATTGCAGCAATCGCTGAAAGGTCAGTCAGTTGTGTGTGAAGTTGAAAGTTTTGGGAGAGTCGGTGTGAGGACATTATATTATTTGAACTGTTTCGAGTCATCAGGAGAATTTTAATCTCAATTATTTGGGACTCCCATACCAGTTCAAGACAAGCGGGAATTCGACACATCCAGTTTGAGAGATCCGCGCATAGATGATTATGAAAATAGAAGGCTCTCGCAAGGGCTGGAGAGTAAAATCGAGAGAACCAGGTATTCGACACAATGAGGTTCGACTGTAGTTAATATTCAAATGTTAACTGTTCGCTAATCATTGAACCACTTGTTACTTGAGTAACAACGAGCTCTCACACATTATCACTTTGTACAACATAACCAATTGAAATAGGTATGATAGAAAAGAGTAAGTTTGGACACATGCTGCTGTTTTCTCATGTAATAATTCTTTCCCATGTTATAACACCTTCCCATGTTATGACAACTTCCCATGTTATGACAACTTCCCATGTTATAACACCTTCCCATGTTATAATACCTTCCCATGTTATAACACTTCCCCATGTTATACAACATTTTCTCATGTTAGTACACTTTGCAATATTTCAACAGTTCCATGACATAACATTTCTTGTGTCACATAACTTGTCGATGTTATAACACTTTTATAACTATGTTCCATGTTATAACTTATGAGAAATGTTTATAACATGGTAAATGTGTAAAAAAATATATTCTCACAAATAAAAACAAATCATCTAAACAATATTATACATATTTCAGACTATTTTACCAATTCAACATTCATTAAATATGATGGATAAAATATTTCATATGAAATCACTTAACAGATAGGGGCTACTGGGCAGTGGTTGAAGCGGCCACTTACCAATACCAGAGACATAAAATTAGCGCCAAACTTGGAATGGGCGCCAAATGTAGAATTGGTCCAATTGTCTGTCTGTTCCAGTGCAATTCACAGAAAGTGTCCCGATCTAGAAGGATGTTGTATTGTTGTATTAAAACTGTAGCAGGTCAGTCATGTGTGGTCAGCAGACAGTCCAGAGTTCATCTTGACACAGACCCGTGAAGATCCGGGGTGGAATAGGTCTTCAGCAACCCATGCTTGCCGTAAAAGGCGACTATGCTTGTCGCAAGAGGCGACTAACGGGATTGGGTGGTCAGGCTCGCTGACTTGGTTGATGCATGTCATCGTATCCCAATTGCGTGGATCGATGCTTATGATGTCAATCACTGGACTGTCTGGTCCAGATTCGATTATTCACAGACCGCCATCGTATAGCTGGAATATTGCTGAGAGCGGCGTAAAACAACAAACAAAACCCAAACCATCTTGACACATGGCAGTATTGAATAACTATAAACAAACAAATCTGCATGGTGTCAGTGTAAGAGGAACTATGTTTGAAGCACATACACATTGTGTTCCTTTCAATCTCATTAAAATCAGACCTTAGTTCTCACTACCGCTAAACAAAGATCTGAAGACATCCCATTAGAGGTCACGTCAGACCGACCTTTCATCCGACCAATCAGTGCATCACTTACCAGATTATGAAAGTGACATGACAGAAAACTTTAACATGGGGTATACCGAACAATAGTTACGGGTTTAACGACTGATTCCTTACAATCTAGACCATCTATAAGCCATTCCAGAATGTTTTTTGTTCAGGTTTCAAATTTGTATTCGGAATTTGTCAAAATATGTTTCGAAGCGAAGTCGCCAATTTGAAATTAGTGTTGTAAAGCACGAGAAAGCTGCCTTCTGATTGGTCATTCCATTGGTCGGTCAAAGTTCGTGCAAGGTCGGTCTGACGTGACCCGTAATGGGATGTCCTCAGATCTTTGTTCAGCGGTAGCGAGAACTAAGATCTGATTTTAATGAGATTGTGATCCTTCAGAAAAAAAGATCTGTACAATCTGGTCCACACCGACCTGCTGTCTACTGGACTGTGACCGACACTGGATGTCAACAGGCTGGCTGTGCAGTGGATGAGCTAAGGGGGATTACCAGTAGATTACATGATTTTCACCTTTCATTCTCACTTTCTGCTATTTTCATTGGAGTACCCCGGTATTTTGAAAAGGTGTAGGGTCTGTGAGATTTGACTGTATTATTGGTCCTCAGTAGTGACTTCGGTATGTCATGGTTCTAATATTGGTGTGTAGTCAGACTGTAGTTCCAGACTTCAGTAGTGACTACGGTATGTCAGGTGCTGCCTCTTGATTTCATCAAACTGCAAAAGAGGAAGTCACATGTCTGAATAATGATCTTAGCGCTACAACTACTGTAAGCCTATGTTAAAGTATGGGAGTTACGATCATCTTAGCACTGCGACTGTTGTAAGCCTATGTTAAAGTATGGGAGTTATGATCATCTTAACGCTACAACTATTGTAAGCCTATGTTAAAGTATGGGAGTTACGATCATCTTAGCACTGCGACTGTTGTAAGCCTATGTTAAAGTATGGGAGTTACGATCATCTTAACGCTACAACTATTGTAAGCCTATGTTAAAGTATGGGAGTTACGATCATCTTAACGCTACAACTATTGTAAGCCTATGTTAAAGTATGGGAGTTACGATCATCTTAACGCTACAACTATTGTAAGCCTATGTTAAAGTATGGGAGTTACGATCATCTTAACGCTACAACTATTGTAAGCCTATGTTAAAGTATGGGAGTTACGATCATCTTAGCACTAAGATCGCTTTGTGCAAGCAGGCCCTGATGTCTTGTTAGAATTAAGTGCTCATTAAACTTGTTTTCAACCCTTCCTAAGCCCTAGTCTGTTATATTCCAGCTATATCACAGCAGTCTGTACAACGAACAAGTCTTGATCAGACAAACCAGTGGTTGATACTATGAGCATTAATCAACACCATCAGTGAACGATGACACACAAACAACCAGGGCCCCGTTCCACAAAGCCATCTTAGCGCCAAGGTGATCGTGACTCCCATACTTTAACACTGGCTTACGACAATCATAGCGCTAAAATCGCTTTGTGGAACAGTGTCCAGGTCTCACACTGTATTGAAAGGGTGAATGTTCTGTTACCATGGTTATGCCACAATTTGTAAAGTTACATCCTTATCACAGCAGCCTATTCTTCAGCTCAAAATTGTACGTCTTCAAGCATTGACCAAAACAATATTTATCTCCAAAAACAATCACAGCCCCAACGACCCAAACATAATCTGGTCAGTCTATTAGATTTACCATTATCCGCTGGACAAATATACACTGAACACAATAGGGTTGTGATCATGAATATTTTCAAAGACATTTTTTTGTAAATTGTGTTCTCCAATCTCATTAAAATCAGATCTTAGTTCTCGCTACCGCTAAACAAAGATCTGAGGACATCCCATTACGGGTCACGTCAGACTGACCTTGCGCAAACTTTGACCGACCAATGGAATGACCAATCAGAAGGCAGCTTTCTCCTGCTTTACATCCCTTATTTCAAATTTGCAACTACGCTTCGAAACATATTTTGACAAATTCTCAATTACAGATTTGAAACCTGAACAAAAGAACATTCTGGAATGGCTAATAGATGATCTAGATTGTATTGATTCCATCGTTAAACCCGAAACTATCGTTCAGAGTTAAAGTTTTCGAGGTTGCATGATTAGTATCACATTCCGACTGTCACTTTCATAATCTAGTAAGCAATGCTCTGATTGGTCGGATGAAAGGTCGTTCTGACGTGACCCCTAATGGCATGTCCTCAGATCTTTGTTTAGCGGTAGCGCAAACTGAGGTCTGATTTTAATCAGATTGTTGTGTTCTCAGTCTTCACTACAAAAACAATTCCCCCCAAAATATTCATGATCCCATATTTGTTTTGTTCAGTATACATTCTGGCGGTGCTTCGTGACAATAGTGGGCTATGAGTGACTTGAAGCCATCTTGCCAAGACTACAAGCCTACCGTAGTCCCCATCTTCACACTCACCAAGTTCCGCTTCCAATCTTTGGGTGTTTTAAGGTCTTGATTGGGGGCATCAGTATTTCCACCAAAGTGTATGAGCATCGTCAGTAGATGCAGGTGCTCCTCCTTCTCCAGCATCTTCATCCCTGCTGCGATGTGCAGACTCGTGTTTCCCACCTTGTTTGCTCGGTTGATCAGGTCACGTGACATCCCTACACCAATGCCTTCCAGGAAGTGTTGTACAAGGCTCACATCACGTGTCTCGATCACCATCATCAGGATTGTCTTGTCGCTGCTCTCATTCTGAAGAAATGTATGGTTCATACCAAATTTCAGCTACCATCTTCAAGGCCTTGGTTTTAGGGTGCTGTCAAGCAATATTTCACCCTTATAATGACAAGGCAAGCACTTATTGACATTATGATAATTGTTTCAGAACATTGGACAAGTGGTAATTACCGGTACTTAACCTTCTTCCCTATCGTCCTAAAGACTAAACTGAGTGAGTTTTTACCCTGAATCACCAATACATAACTGGTCGATGTTTACCTCATTCAAAGAATATCTAAATCTACCCCATTTTAACTGCAGAATATTTGTTCACTTTTAATCTCTGGCTAAACTTGAAACAATTGTCAGTAACAAAGGGAAAGGTGTAAATCCTGCTGGGGAACCATGCAGGTTACAGAGGTACCCCTTGATCCCTAGTGTGGTGACCTTAGCTTTGTTGCTGGCAACTTATAGCCGCATTTATATATCATATACAGGTTCATCGACAGGTTTTATAAATATTGTATAAATTGTTCAAGTCACGCTATGGCTGAAATTTTGCTGACGAGGCTTAAAATTAAATTCACTTACTCACTCAATTTACCAGGAATAACTATACCAACTGATATGGCATGCACCAACACGAAAACAGCCTTTGAAAAGGCAAGGTTGGTGCTCAGCTGGTACTTTGAGGTGCGAGTGTGTGTTTGTTGTTATACGTCCCACAGCAATATTTCAGCTATATGATGGCAACCAGTAAACAATCAAGCCTGGACAGACCAACCAGGGAATACTGTTGGGGTACATTGACACGCATCAACCCTAATGACCTGATTCATTACGACCAGCATTGGTTGCTTGGCACCTGTTCTAAACTAGAATGACTACTTTCCTAAAAGAAATGAGTGAGTGAGTGAGTGAGTATGGTTTTACGCCGCTTTTAGCATTATTCCAGCAATATCACGGCGGGGGACACCATAAATGGGCTCCACACATTGTACCCATGTCGGGAAACAAACCCGGGTCTTGGGTGTGACGAGCGAATGCTTTAACCACTAGGCTACCCGTGCCCCCTTTAAAGAAATGAGCAAAACTTGTTGAAGCATTCACAGATCAGATTCCTTCAGGTGAGACTTGAATATGATTGGATGTCTGACCCTAAAATATGGCATGTGAAAAAATATATTAGAAAATCACTAATTTTATATTACCCTATTCGACATAATAAGCGCCCAGGGCGCTCTCAAAATTAGAAACAGGGGGCTCATTAGAATATTATTTGAGTTGAAAGATAAATTTCGTGGTTTATGCTGACAGCCTGAAATGATTATGTACGACAGATATATGTTTCCAGAATTTAATTGCCAATTATTAAGGGTGCATATAACACACAAATGCGTATTATATGCGAATAGGAGAAGGAAGCGGTGCGTATTATATGCGAATAGGGGTCAGAAGGGGTGCTAATTGGGATTGTTCACTAGCCAATATAGTAGCAAATCCCACGGTGGGCGCTTATTAGAGCGGGGCACCTATTACGTCGAATACGGTATATACAAATGAAAACTTATATAACTATCTGAAATATCTTTCTCTTAGAACAGTAGAAAAATACATTCCCACCTACAGGGAAAAAAGATATTCTGGTACAGAGAGTAACATGTAATTTACAGCGATCTTTTTTTTAATCTAACCCCAAACATACGAAATATTCCAGCCTATAAATAATCAAGTCTGGGCCAGACAATCCATTGATTGATATCCTGAGCAATGATCCACATCGTCGGGGCATGATGACCCAGCATGACCACTTGATCTATTTATTTGCCTTGTCCGGCTGCTGGGGAGCAATTCTAACCCAGATTGCACACTGGGTGACCACACGTAAAAACCTTATTGCAAAAAAATGGATGCTTACAAATTTATCAATACTGGCACCACAGTTCAAGAGGTGATGAATAATTTCACATCTATCTCGGTCCTCATTGCCCTGGATGTGGCCATGGAGCGCCAACATCAGGGGAGTCTTCTCTGAAACATTAAACAAACTCAGTAAGGGGAAGTATGTCATGAGAGGCAATTTCTCCAAAACATTGAGAGGAAGACATTTTCAGTGAAGAATTAGGAAATTGACAGAATGGACAGTCAATTAAAGTTAACATACATGTCACAAGTAAATTAATTTTAATGACAAAAATAGTGATACTCCTTGGAATTTCATGGGACTCACAAAGCCTTACATTTGCATCCATTCTCAGCTTTTCAGCTTATAAGATGCAATATATTGTGTCCAGTAAAATTCTTGGATTGCAATATGGTACTGAAACTATTACTGAGAGGGCCCAGTTGGGCCAGTCATCCAAGGCACTGAGTTGCATCCCTTAGGCATGCCAGGAGCTTAAGATCAAGGGTTCGATGCCCTATTATGGCTGAGTCACTCACTCACTCACAGATTCTCCCACCCACTCACTCACAGGTGATCACTGACAGGCTACTCACTATCACAGACCCGCTGCAGTTCAATGTCCAGGCCATCGTAATTAAGCAGAAGAATCACCATCTGTGTATCTCCCAGGTCGATGGCTTTGTGTATAGGGGCTTGCATCTTGTCACTCTGTTAAACATTTCATGACACTTGTCATATTCATAGGATTTCTACATGTGCCCCGTAGGCAGGGGAACTTCTTTCAGCATGCAAAAATCAAGGATGAGAATGGATATTTTCCCTTTTCAGCTGAAACATCTTTGCTTAATTTCTAACACTGTGAAGACACATCAGTTGTATAATCATCATTGCCTTTCAAAAATGATCATATTAGGATGATATTAGGATATTCAAATGACTGATAGCTGTCTTACTTTGTTCACAAACAAGTGTTCAAGTGATGGCGTTCTTACTTTGTTCACAAACAAGTGTTCAAGTGATGGCGTTCTTACTTTGTTCACAAACAAGTGTTCAAGTGATGGCGTTCTTACTTTGTTCACAAACAAGAGTTCAAGTGATGGCGTTCTTATTTTGTTCACAAACAAGTGTTCAAGTGATGGCGTTCTTACTTTGTTCATAAACAAGAGTTCAAGTGATGGCGTTCTTACTTTGTTCACAAACAAGTGTTCAAGTGATGGCGTTCTTACTTTGTTCACAAACAAGTGTTCAAGTGATGGCATTCTTACTTTGTTCACAAACAAGAGTTCAAGTGATGGCGTTCTTACTTTGTTCACAAACAAGTGTTCAAGTGATGGCGTTCTTACTTTGTTCACAAACAAGTGTTCAAGTGATGGTGTTCTTTCTTTGTTCACAAACAAGTGTTCAAGTGATGGCGTTCTTACCCTATGTTCCATGCACTGAATGTTCGGGTCAGCCCCGATCTGCAGCAGGAAGTACACTATGTCGTATTTCCGCAGCATCACAGCAATGTAAAGGGCCGTCTGTAAAACACAACCGCCAATTAAATGGGGACTATCCTCGGACAAACTGGCAAGCACAGAAAGTTCCTTTCAAGTCAAGCAACACAGATTATGTAAGTCTGTTCTATGATGTTTTTCCCAACCAAGCAATTTATCAATACCTTAATCACACAGAGACCATGTCTTAATTTGACACTGTTAGGTAAGTAAAAGCGACAAAACGATTGAATGATTCTGACTATATCATGAGCATGTGTTTATGACAAAATCAAAATCAAATTCTGATGATAGGTGTTTGCGAAAAGGTGAGCATATCCTGCCCCACCGGTGGCACCCATCACAAACACATGCAAAGGCAAGTCAATTGTTCACTTGAAAAAAACAGGGCAAGATATGGTACAAGTCAAAATAGCAAATTGCATCAAACATTATTCTTGTCACTGATGTGTCAAATTTGGAAATGTCCTAAAATAAAACTTTTTATGGTATGTTCGGTAAAGCACCCACTTGACTGGACGTGTCTTTCCATGTCTCAGATTGGAATATTTTCTGTCAATCAGCGTCATTTCGTCTCCAGCAGACTTTCAGACTACACATTAACAGTTTTGAACTCTAACTGTACATTAGGGAAAAGTTCATTTAATTCAGCTTGAGTTTTTTTTAGTTGGATGGTCCTCATGTGAAACTTAGCTCTTAAATTAACAACTTTTAATCAAAACAGAAATTCTGACCAAGCCCATTTGCAAACCAGTATCAATAAAACATAATTATTTGAGTTTCCAGAACCCAGCTGACACTTCCTATCCAGGGTCACATAAAACACTTCCTGGTTATCACCCAGGTACAGAAGCTCACCTTCTACAAATATGAATTGTGTGAATATACTGACGTTTTTGCCTCATAATGAATGAGTGAGTGAATTGGGTTTTACACCGCTTTTAACAGTATTATCATGTCATGTCAGCTTAATGTTGGAGGAAAGCCCGAAGTGATGCAGGTCTCAGACGTTTACCACTTCGGTGAAACCCACGAGCACAGGTATGGTGCTGACAAACTTCGAAACATAATTGAGGCGAACCAGGATTCGAACCCACAATCATAGGTTTCTGTCGTGCCCAAGGGATGCAACTCTGCACTGGAGCATGTGTATTTGTACAGGTCTTGTTTTATATCACTGACAAAATTTAGCAAAATAACAACTGCTTTTCAAAATTACCTGGCAAAGTCACTTAGTTCCCAGTGACCCTTTCCACAAAGCGATCTTAGCCAGTGTTAAAGTATGGGAGTCATGATCAGAACGGGGCTCTGGTCTGTTTAGGCTTTGCTCAATTAGGCTGACACGACTATGACTTAAAAATCACATGAAAACAGTTTAAAGCAGACTCAATACTCATCAAAAAGAATGCCTAGGGCCCCAAAAAGACTAGTGATTAGATTCTGATTATCTAACACACCCTCATTTATCAAAACCTATTCCAAACACTGTCAAGGTTACAAAGGTTCTCTAACGTAATTACATGTTTTTTAAAAAGAAAGCGAAACCTCATTTCTATTTGGAAAGGGCGGTGGAGTAGCCCAGTGGTTAAAGCGTTCGCTCGTCACGCCGAAAACCCGGGTTCGATTACCGACATGGGTACAATCATCAATGTCTGAAGCCCATTTCTGGTGTCCCCTGCCATGATACTGCTGGAATATTGCTAAAAGCGGTGTTAAACCATACTCACTCACTCACTCCAATTTTGAGATGAGGTGAGGTGAAATGGGGTTTAACGTCGCGTCCAAGATTATTGCACTTATATAGCGACGTGCATGTATGTGTGGGTTTGTGTGGCTGCTTGTACTAGTACAGACGGATGCCGATTTATAGTGCTAGCTCACTGAGATACCATGCCGCAGTTTAACATGAATACCCCACTCAGACACAGTATACTGACTCCGAGTGTCCAGTCCTTGTTTTAGCCCCTTAATACCGAGCGCAAGACAGGGTAACAACAAGTACCATCTTTTAACGTCTTTTGGTATGACGCGACTGGGGATTGAACCCCGGACCTTCCGCTCTCTGGGCGGACGCTCTACCACTAGACCACACATCGGTCCCAATTTTGAGATTACATGACATATGCATACAAACATGAGTTCTTCTACGAACACACACCTGCCGCTGGTGATTGAGATTGTTGACATTGTTCACAACTAACTGCTTGTTGTCTCCGTAGATCTCTCTGACCTGTTGAAGACCCAGATCCGCAAAGTAGTGAACCACGCTGGTGAACAAGAAACACATGTTTAGTACGTCTATTGGGGCGGTTGAGGCGAAAAATTTTGCACTTTGGGCTAAAAGCACAATTGAACAATTCCGAACATTTCCAATAAGGTTCCAGCTCAGCAGCGACCCCTGGTGGCAGAAAATCCAAGATGGCCACCAACATGGCTGAAATCTCGAATGATATCAATCTATACTCAATATATCACAATTATCTGGTCAATTTATACACACTACATTCCTCCATCATCCAGGTATACATACGGATGATAAGGCTTAAAAAAATAAAGGAATTGGTTCTCAGGCAATGGCTTTTGAAAATATAGTTCGGGTGGGCAGCCAGACGGTGTTTTTCATTTTTTTGCTTTTTTGTTGTTGTTGAAACTAGTATGTAAACAAATAAACAGTTGTGTAACCAAATAAACAGTTGTGGACAATCAACCTGGAAAAGAGCCTCCCTACGTATTCCTTGAAGAGTAAAATACTGGAAAACAGTATTTGACTACCATTGGACTTGGAATATTTAAAGATTTGTTTTGCTTTTATAAAAATGGAAATAAAAATGAAACGTGCGGTGAACTTTATGATGAGGGTGGTGCCTGAGAACCAAGACTATTATTTTTTTAAGCCTAAGCTATGTAGTTTGTTTATTTAACCAATGGATCAAGTCGCAGTCTGGTGCTAGGTGGAGGAAAAACAGCAAGTGCTTGGACACCAACTTCCAGAACACAGAGCAAAAACGGCAATATGTCTCCATATTAGGGCTGGGCAAGTCCAAATTTACTACCCGGGTACCCGAACCCCTATTACCAGGCCCTATCCGGGTACCCACTGCAAGGCTCAAGAGTAGGGAACAAAATGTCAGATTGGTAATCGTTTTACCGCAGCCCTGGCTAAAACTATTTCGATACATGTATCAAACAATCAGATCATGCGTTCACTGAAGTTGACTGAAGCTTTATCTTTACTCAAACATATACAAGTCCAAAGGAATGTGTGCATCGTCAGAAAGAAATGCGAACATTGGCGACTTGTAGTGTAACCACTGAGCTATAGTGAGTTTTTGTCATTAAACAATATATCATGTGACTTACCACGGGTCCGGGTAGTCCTGTATGTACCCAGGTCTTTCTCAATACCCATCCGACCATGTACCCGAGTTACGCATCCCAGCCCTAATTGCATTCATTTCAATGTGGTGAAGGCAAAGGGACATATTTGCTAAGAACAAGCATTCAACTGTTCGTATTTTTGAAGTATGTAATCATGGTAGTGGCATTTTTAAAGGAATGTCAGTTTAAATAGAAGTCCTTATTTAACAAATGAGGTAAATCTGTAATATTTATCTGTCAAAATACCCTGTCCGTCCACATGTTGCATAGCCTGTGGCCATCTGTTGTTTCATCGCCATGGAGACCCGGGTTAGAATTGGTCATCAGCAGCCCCGGCTGTCGTAGGCGGCGACTAACGGGATCGGTTGGTCAGGCTGCATATATCGATGAACTTACAGACTGACGGGCGGTCGGGTAGCCTAGTGGTTAAAGCGTTTGCTCGTCAGGCCGAAGACCCGGGTTCGATTCCCAACATGGGTACAATGTGTGAAGCCCATTTCTGGTGTCCCCCGCCGTGATATTGCTGGAATATTGCTAAAAGCGGCGTAAAGCAATATGAACAAGGCAATCCTGTGATTGACATCATGAGCATCAATTGGGATATGATGACATGCATCAACCAAGTCAGCGAGTCTGACCACCCAATCCTGTTAGTCACCTCTTACGACAAGCATTGTCGGCAAGCATGGGCTGCTGAAGACGTATTCTCTACCCGGATTCTAGGGGCGGTCGGGTAGCCTAGTGGTTAGAGCGTTCGCTTGTCACGCAAAAGACCCGGGTTCTATTCCCCACATGGGTACAATGTGTGAAGCCCATTTCTGGTGTCCCCCGCCGTGATATTGCCGGAATATTGCTAAAAGCGGCGTAAAACCAAACTCACTCACTCACTCACTCACTCACGACCCGGATTCTCTGACATTGAATGCAATTTAAAGTACCTCCTAATTTTAGAATATAAGAACTTTAACAATTTTGAATAATGATTATTTTTCTAGTTTGCTGCAATGGGCACTTGTTTGGAATCCTAGAAGAGCCCCTACAGGGATGCTCGTCATGATATGGCTGAAATACTGCCGATGTGACGTTAAATCTTAACTCACTCACTCACTCACTACAGGGATGCACTCCAGATGGAGAGTCTGACCAACGAATCAACTTTAGCCGCCTCTTATGGCTAGCAATCGAGTTGAGGACCTTTTCCATACGAACCCCATGGGGTTTACAGAAAGAAAAACTACGGATAAACATTTGCAGCACCTTAGCAAATACAGTATTCGACAAACGTGCATAATTTTCACTTTATGGCACATTTGTGAGTGAGTTGGGATTAGGACAGTATTTCAGTTATATCAACGCATCAGTTTGATGTGGAGGAAGGCCGAGGAGAACCAGGTCTGATACATTTACCACCTCAGTGAAACCACGGGTACTGATATGGTGCTGTTTGTTTGTTTTGTTTGTTTGTTTGTTGTTTAAAGCCTCACTTAGCAATATTCCAGGTATATGACGGCGGTCTGTAAATAATCAAGTATGGACCAGACAATCCAGTGATTGACCTCATGAGCATGGATCCATGCAATTGGGATACGATGACATGCATTGACCAAGTCAGCGAGTCTGACCACCCAATCCCGTTAGTCGCCTCTTATGACAAGCATAGTCGCCTTTTACTATGGCAAGCATGGGTTGCTGAAGACCTATTCGGCCCCGGATCTTCACGGGTCGGTTATGGTGCTGACATCAGGGATCCAAACCAGCAATTATTGGATTTTAGCACATGTGACATCGGCAGTATTTCAGCCATATCATGACGATGTGGCACATGAGATGCAACTCAGTACAGCAAACTACAGCACCTAAGACAAGTTGCCATGCAACCCCCTTTAAGTTTCATCAACCGAGGAGAATACACCTACGTGTCCTCATCATGCCGCATCGCTTCATCCTCCTCGTCTGTATCAGAATACTCTGTGGAGCTTGATGGACGATCCCCACCGAGACCGAGATGACTGGAGGTACTCGAACAAGGCGATCCCCCTGGAGCTTCAACAGGGATGCCAGGATTAGTACACATTCCATCTTGGCCAGGTGAGAACCTGTCTGGAGGTTGGCGAACGACTGCAGCTTCTCCACAAGGTGATCTGTCCTGGCCAGGCGAGAACCTGTCTGGAGGTGGTCGAACGATTGGAACTTCTCCACAAGGTGATCTGTCCTGGCCAGGCGAGAACCTGTCTGGAGGTGGGCGAACGACTGGAGCTTCTCCACAAGGTGATCTGTCCTGGCCAGGCGAGAACCTGTCTGGAGGTTGGCGAACGACTGGAACTTCTCCACAAGGTGATCTGTCCTGGCCAGGCGAGAACCTGTCTGGAGGTGGGCGAACGACTGGAGCTTCTCCACAAGGTGATCTGTCCAGGCCAGGCGAGAACCTGTCTGGAGGTGGTCGAACGATTGGAACTTCTCCACAAGGTGATCTGTCCAGGCCAGGCGAGAACCTGTCTGGAGGTGGTCGAACGATTGGAACTTCTCCACAAGGTGATCTGTCCTGGCCAGGCGAGAACCTGTCTGGAGGTGGGCGAACGACTGCAGCTTCTCCACAAGGTGATCTGTCCTGGCCAGGCGAGAACCTGTCTGGAGGTGGGCGAAAAGGATGTTGGCTAGAACCTGTAGAAGTGACTGCGGCGCCATGATCCAGTGGAGAGACTCGGAACAGGTTTGGCGATTGGCTAGATCCTTGTCCAAAGTCAGGAGTGTCAATTCCTGAGTCATGTCTTACACCAGGCTGTGGAAATGTTAAGTCCTCAAATAAAGGCTGGTGACTGTTTGCTAAGTGATAGGGCACTTGTGGTGGGTAAGCCTGGCTGTTTGCTGGGAGACGAGGCACTGCTGATGGATAAGCTGAACTGTTGTTCTGTATGACAGCACATTGATTAAATTGTCCATCACCACGATGTGGATACTGCAATGAACTGGACACACCATTCAGAAATTCAAAGATGTTTGGGAACTGTGCTGCGAGGCCATCATTGGTCATTGGTGGCCCTACCACCTCACCATCTGTTTCCAAGTCTTCTTTGATGAAAGTGAGGACATCCTCTAGGTTCACGTTGCCTGTTTCAGACAGTTCCGGATGCATCTGTGGGGCGCCACGACTTGGTGGAGTTCCAGTTGGTGCTCCTCCAGGATAGGGTGGGGGGAGCGTCTCACGAGGCCCTTGTGTTCCGGGATTCATGACAGGCATAAAAGGTGATGCATTCCTTCCTGGGTCAAACCTCTGTTGGTGAACGCTTTGAACCAATCTCGTTGCAGTTACACCATCTGATTGAAAATTGCACGGAGCACCTTCTAGTGGCCCAGGGACAGGTGTGTACTGTTGTCTGGCCTGAGGCTGCTGCTGCTGCTGCTGTAGAGGACTCTGCTGCCACGGTTGTTGCTGTGAGTGTTGGGGAGGTGGTCGTTGTTGGGGAAGACGTTGATAGGGATGGTGACTGGGGTATGGTGGGGGATGTTGAACACCTCCATGTCTGACCATCCGGGGGATCAGTCCATCCACCTCATCCTTGTTTCCTCGGTGTAGCTGGTGGTAAACAAGAAGACATGTTACAGCAGGGGAGAATTAACAGATGGTACTGAGTGGATAAAAGTGAAGCATGACATGGTGTTGAATGTTAATATTGTAGGGAAAATGGTAATATTAACAGTTTAGAAACGGTTAAATCAAACTAAAGTTGAATATGAACAGTGTAGCACAACATAGTGTTGAATGTTAACAGTATAGTACTACAATGTGTTGAATGTTAACAGTGTAGCACAAAGTGGTGTTGAATGTTAACAGTGTAGCACAAAGTGGTGTTGAATGTTAACAGTGTAGTACTACATGTTGTTGAATGTTAACAGTGTAGCACTACAATGTGTTGAATGTTAACAGTGTTGCACAACATGGCGTTGAATGTTAACAGTGTAGCACTACATGTTGTTGAATGTTAACAGTTTTGCACAACATGGCTTGAATGTTAACAGTGTTGCACAACATGGCGTTGAATGTTAACAGTGCAGTACTACATGGTGTTGAATGTTAACAGTGTAGTACTACATGGTGTTGAATGTTAACAGTGTAGTACTACATGGTGTTGAATGTTAACAGTGTAGTACTACAATGTGTTGAATGTTAACAATGTAGTACTACAATGTGTTGAATGTTAACAGTGTTGCACAACATGGCGTTGAATGTTAACAGTGTAGCACTACATAGTGTTGAATGTTAACAGTGTTGCACAACATGGCGTTGAATGTTAACAGTGTAGTACTACATGGTGTTGAATGTTAACAGTGTAGTACTACATGGTGTTGAATGTTAACAGTGTATGTAGTACTACATGGTGTTGAATGTTAACAGTGTAGTACTACATAGTGTTAAATGTTAACAGTGTAGTACTACATGTTGTTGAATGTTAACAGTGTAGCACTACAATGTGTTGAATGTTAACAATGTAGTACTACAATGTGTTGAATGTTCAGTGTTGCACAACATGGCGTTGAATGTTAACAGTGTAGTACTACATGGTGTTGAATGTTAACAGTGTTGCACAACATGGCGTTGAATGTTAACAGTGTAGTACTACATGGTGTTGAATGTTAACAGTGTAGTACTACATGTTGTTGAATGTTAACAGTGTAGCACAACATGGCGTTGAATGTTAACAGTGTAGCACTACATGGTGTTGAATGTTAACAGTGTAGTACTACAATGTGTTGAATGTTAAAAGTGTAGTACTACATGGTGTTGAATGTTAACAGTGTAGTACTACATGGTGTTGAATGTTCTGAACTTGGATGGATCCTGTTTGAACCTGTGTGAACCCAGTGAGAACCACATGTGAACATGTGTGAACCTGTATGAACCCAGGGTTAACTCGATGAACCCAGTGTTCACCTGTATGAACCCAGTGTGAATCTGTATGAACCCAGTGTGAACCTGTAAGAACCCAGAGTGAATCTGTATGAACCCAGTGTGAACCTCTATGAAACCAGTGTGAACCTGTATGAACCCAGTGTGAACCTGTATGAACCCGGTGTGAACCTGTAAGAACCCAGTGTGAATCTGTATGAACCCAGTGTGAACCTGTATGACCCCAGTGTGAATCTGTATGAACCCAGTGTGAATCTGTATGAACCCAGCGTGAATCTGTATGAACCCAGTGTGAACCTGTATGACCCCAGTGTGAATCTGTATGAACCCAGTGTTCACCTGTATGAACCCAGTGTGAATCTGTATGAACCCAGTGTTCACCTGTATGAACCCAGTGTTCACCTGTATGAACCCAGTGTGAATCTGTATGAACCCAGTGTGAATCTGTATGAACCCAGTGTGAACCTGTATGACCCCAGTGTGAATCTGTATGAACCCAGTGTTCACCTGTATGAACCCAGTGTGAATCTGTATGAACCCAGTGTTCACCTGTATGAACCCAGTGTGAATCTGTATGAACCCAGTGTGAATCTGTATGAACCCAGAGTGAATCTGTATGAACCCAGTGTGAACCTCTATGAAACCAGTGTGAACCTGTATGAACCCAGTGTGAACCTGTATGAACCCGGTGTGAACCTGTCAGAACCCAGTGTGAATCTGTATGAACCCAGTGTGAACCTGTATGACCCCAGTGTGAATCTGTATGAACCCAGTGTGAATCTGTATGAGCCCAGTGTGAACCTGTAAGAACCCAGTGTGAACCTGTATGAACCCAGTGTGAACCTGTATGAACCCAGTGTGAATCTGTATGAACCCAGTGTGAATCTGTATGAGCCCAGTGTGAACCTGTAAGAACCCAGTGTGAACCTGTATGAAACCAGTGTGAACCTGTATGAACCCAGTGTTAACCTGTATGAACCCTGTGTGAACCTGTAATAAACCCAGCGTGAACCTGTATGAACCCAGCGTGAACCTGTATGTACCCAGCGTGAACCTGTATGAACCCAGCGGGAACCTGTATGAACCCAGCGTGAACCTGTATGAACCCAGCGTGAATCTTTATGAACCCAGCGTGAACCTGTATGAACCCAGTGTGAACCTGTATGAACCTAGTGTGAACCCAGTGTGAATCTGTATGAACCCAGTGTGAATCTGTATGAACCAAGGGTGAACCCAGTGTGAATCTGTATGAACCCAGTGTGAACCTGTATGAACCCAGTGTGAACCTGTATGAACCCAGCGTGAACCTGTATGAACCCAGTGTGAACCTGTATGAACCCAGCATGAACCTGTATGAACCCAGCGTGAACCTGAATGAACTAAGCGTGAACCTGTATGAACCCAGCGTGAACCTGTAATGAACCCAGCGTGAACCTGTATGAACCCAGAGTGAACCTGTATGAACCCAGTGTGAACCTGTATGAACCCAGCGTGAACCTGTATGAACCCAGCGTGAACCTGTATGAACCCAGCGTGAACCTGTATGAACCCAGTTTCCACTAAACACAGCCAACTTACTGCTTGTGGCCCGATGACCAGTCTCTCCAAGTCTGTGGCAGTCTTGTCTATGTCTGACTGAAGCTGTATCTCATCGCGGTCGTCCTCCCTGGCCAGGGACAGCTGATGCAACTTCTCTTCAATATCTGGACCTGCACATCATTTACAATTGTATTACTACTGCAGTGTGGGATCTGTCTAGGGTTTGAGAAAACCATTGCAAAGAGAATGAGTGAGTGAGTTGTGTTTAACGCCGCTTTGAACAGTATTCCAGTTATATCACGACGTGTCAGCTTACTACTACACCAGAAATGGCAGTGCCTTAGCCAGCCGGGGGGCAGTTGACCCCCCTGGATTTTTTTTACAGAAAACAGTTTTATTTGAATCAAGTTGTGGACAACGATACTTGTAAAAATATTTGCCCTCCCTGTCAAAAAAAGTTAACTACGACCTTGAATGGGCACACATATGCTTAATTCATACATTGTACCCATCTGGGGAATCAAACTTGGATCTTCGGTGTGGCAAGATAACACTTTAACCACTAGGCTACGCTACCTCACCACCTCAAACACCTATGGGAGGTGTGACTGTCGGACATGGTATTTTGACAGATAAATATTACAGATTTACCTCATTTGTTAAATAAGGACTTCTATTTAAACTAACATTCTTTTAAAAATGCCACTACCATGATTATATACTTCAAAAATACGAAATGTTCATGTGGACAACTTGGAACAGTCGAATGCTTGTTCTTAGCAAATATGTCCCTTTGCCTTCACCACATTGAAATGAATGCATTTAGGGCTGGGATGGGTAACTCGGGTACATGGTTGGATGGGTCCTGAGAAAGACCCGGGTACCCACAGGACTACCCATCCCTGTGGTAAGTCACATGATATATTGTTTAATGACAAAACCTATCTAGAACTCTATGGTTACACTACAAGTCACTAATGTTCGCATTTCTATGCACACATTCCTTCTGACTTTAATATGTTTGACAAACCTTAAGTCAACTTCAGTGTATGCGTGACGAGATCGTTTTATTTGTGTATCTAAATACATTCGTCAAGGCAATCGGACATTTTATCCCTATCTCTTGAGACCTACAGCAGGTACCCAGGTAGGGTCGGGTAATAGTGGGGTGGGTACCTGGGTAGTAAATTTGGATTTGTCCCTGCCCTAAACACAATTGAACATGATTTCTTTTTTTCCGTTTGTTTGTTGTTTAACGCCGCACTCAGTAATGTCCCAGCTATATGACGGCGGTCTATAAATAATCGAGTTTGGACCAGACAATCCAGTGATTGACATCATGAGCATTGATCCATGCAATTGGGATGACATGCTTCAAACCAAGTCAGCGAGCCTGACCACCAGATCCCGTTAGTCACCTCTTACGACAAGCATAGTCGCCTTTTACGGCAAGCATGGGTTGCTGGAGACCTATTCTAACCCGGATCTTCACGGTTCAATTGAACATGATGATAGCAACAATGACTATTTATAGAATAGGGATATCTCCACCCACTCACATGACAAAAGATATTTTCACACATGATTAATTTTCTTTCCTGAACAATAAGCTCTCTATGATACCATTAAGCTTCCTTCTCTGACAGCTGTGATAGAGAGACACTGGTCATCAGAATAAAACATGCAGTTATCCATAGGCATTATGAAGGTCAAAAGAGAAAACAGATTGAAAATAAATTTTGACCAATATTGAAAAATAAAATGCAAGGGAAAGTCTAGGACGTGAGTCGTGAGTGAGTTTGGTTTTACATCGCTTTTGGCAATATTGAGCAATATAACGGCGGGGGACACAAGAAATGGGCTTCACACGTTGTACCCATGTGGGGAATCGAACCCGGGTCTTCGGCATGACAAGCAAATGCTTTAACCACTAGGCTACCCGACCACCCCATAATTTGAGAGGATGAGTGAGTGAGTATGGTTATGTCACTTTAAACAATATTCCAGCAATATCACAGCAGGGAACACCAGAAATGGGCTTCACACATTGTACTGATGTCGGGTTTTGAACCTCGGGTCTTCGGCGTGACAAGCAAATGCTTTAACCACTAGGCTTCCCCACTGCCCCATAATTTGAGAGGAAAGAGTGAGTGAGTATGGTTTTATGTCACTTTTAGCAATATTCCAGCAATATCCTGCAGGGGACACCAGAAATGGGCTTCACACATTGTACCCATGTGGGGGATCGAACACGGGTCTTCGGCGTGATGAGTGAACACTTTAACCACTAGACTACCCCATCGCTCCTAGTAGCAGGGGTACAATATTTGAAATGATCATAACATAATAAATCATAATCTATTGAATGACAGTGTTCAAAACACTTTGAACAATATTTCAAGCCTGACCTTTGAATATGTACAGCATGGTATGGTAGTTAAAGCATTAAAGTAAAAGTGAGTGAGTATGGTTTTAAGCCGCTTTTAGCAACATCTCAGCAATATTACGGCAGGGGACACAAGAAATGGGCTTCACACATTGTACCAATGTCGGGAATCGAACCCGGGTCTTCGGCGTGACGAGCGAACGCTTTAACCACTAGGCTACCCGACTGCCCCTTAAACATGTTGAAGTAAAAGAGTTTAAAAGACAGCCAACTGAGCTAAAATGGCATCACGAAGGTGACAATATTTTATAAAAGATGCAGAAATGATGACAAATAATCGTCAATTTGATGTGGCCTCATCAAAAATGGAGTGGTCGGGTAGCCTAGTGGTTAAAGCGTTCGCTCATCATGCCGAAGACCCGGGTTCAAGTCCCCACATGGGTTTAATGTGTGAAGCCCAATTCCAGTGTTAAGTGAAGTGATATTGATGGAAAATCGCTAAAAGTGGCATAAAACAATACTCACTTACTCATAAATATCACATCTTAGACTGTTAGACAATGGTAGAGAGGCTTATATCGGACTCACCTATCCAAGCCGGAAGTAAATAATGGGCTATTATAACTCAAAAACAATAAATAATTCCTGTTTTATATTTATGATTCTATTATTTTCAATTTCATATGATGTCACCATTGGTCACTATTTCTGGGTACATCACCAACAAATTAAAAGATACTGACATAACTATTTATACCTCAACTGGTTATTTTTTTGTGTGGGACTATTATTGTTCCTTAACAATGTCAATGTGTTTTAAAGGTTAATAAAAATTACAGAAGTTGACCTTCAGCCTCTGAGAGAGAGAGAGAGAAAGAGAGAGAGGGGGCAAGAGAGAGAGAGAGAGAGAGAGAGAGAGGGCAAGAGAGGGAGAGAGAGAGAGAGAGAGAGAGAGAGGGGCAAGAGAGGGAGAGAGAGAAAGAGAGAGAGAGAGGGGGCAAGAGAGGGAGAGCGAGCAAGAGAGGGAGAGAGAGAGAGAGAGACTTTGGCAATAGTTTCATGATGCAGTTATTCTTTTAGTTCAACGACAACCAAAAAACATAAGGAGGTATATTGCTTCTATTTACTTCCACACCAACCTTCCTTGTTCACAACAACACATCACACCATTTTATCATGCAACTTCCCATAATATAAATAACACATGCTATTGTTAGACACTCCCAAATACTTCACGGCGCAACACTTTCCAGATTGACAGTACCCAACAGACGCCACCTCACATATCACATCCTCATGCTGAGGTATCGGAGTAAAAGACTTTTATGAGATTGATTTGTGGGTGAACTTCTTAAGAAAACTACTTTTTGGCCTGAGATGACATTGAATATATATATGATCAAAAGTGAGTATGTGTGTTTTGAAATGTGTCTTTTTTTATACGTATTGTCAGATCGTAGGTTTTCGGACATCATACGTTTTGGGACATGTGCTTTAACAGGGGGTGTAGCATCACACAGACATTGTAAATACTCAGACGATGACTTGTTTTCAACTTCAAGAGAAAATTGTCTTTTACACATGAATGAGATGTTTTACAGTTGTTCATGTGATTAGTGGGAAAACTATGAATGCTTCTGAAGCTTCCGAAAACCCATAACACGGGGATACATATATCCATGAAAGTAAATTGTTTACAATATTTTTTCCTAATTTTTTAAACCTGCTACACATACATCTACAAGGCTGTAGTTAACTTTTTTTTGACAGGGGGGGGCAAATATTGTACAAGTATCACTTGTCCCCAACTTGATTCAAATAAAACTGTTTTCTATGCCCCCCCCCCCCCCCCCCCCCAGCTGGCTACGGCACTGATCAATATCTAGATCTAACTGACATTTGAACACTCAATATGTAACACAATCCTGTTAGCATGTAGATCAATTATAGTTAAACATTTTCGTAAATACAAGATAAGTTATAACTTCAATGACAATGAATCTTTCTCAAACAGTAAAAGATATGTCTTATTTCCTAAAAAAATTAATACTATGAAAAACGCAACAATACCAAAAGAAATACCAATTCTAAAGGTGTGATCTAAGGATCTAAAAATAGCATCGTGGGAAAAGCCATGTTTTCCTTTTTCAAATGAAAAAAGAAATATTTACCACATTCGGGTGGTCCTTTTACCACCTCTTCGTGATCTAGGCTATCCTGGGGCATGGTTGTTACAGACTGTCAAATTCAGCAGAAAATCACAAACGGCACATTTGTAGAATTTCACCGTCAAGGACCGAGCTGTCTTGACACAAATTTAGAAAACTTCCTCATTGACAGACTGGTTCCCGAGCTTTAGAAGCGACACCTAGCGTAGGATCGTGAATCGTAGGTGAATCAAGCTCCTCACAGCGATAGCCCATTCACGGAGCCTATATTCTCATACTGGGAGGATAACGAAGGTGTCACGCGCTGGAAAAGAGCTTGCAGTCGCACATTTTCGTAACCTGAAAGATGAGATTCGAAGTGTAACGGAATTCCACGAGTGGTCTCGAATGTGCGACGCATGAGAACTCGTTCATTTCTTTAACATACCCAGGAACAAAACGAGTGATAACGAACAAAGTACGTTCAACACTATTCGGCCTTTTCCGTGAAATCTAACTCTAGACATGTGCACATACAAAAAATGTGTGCAGTGTGTTCGAAATCCCAGTTCGTCAGTGGAACCACGGACCTATATACAAATCCGTGGTGGAACGTACGCCGGCAGCGCCCCGTACGAAATGAGTGAGTGAGTGAGTGAGTTGGGTTTAACGCCGCCTTAAACAGTATTACAGTTATATCGCGGCGTGTCATTAATTTGGGAGGAAAGCCCCAAGTGATGACGGTCTCAAGGGACGCAACTCTGCACAGCGAATCGCGGCGCCTCAGACGACTGGGCCACCCGTATCTGGCCTGATATAGAGGCATACAGTCAAAAATGATCGGCCAGTGGCGGGTATGGGCCACCGTATATATACATATAGCCGGCAGAAGTGCCAAAAGTATTGAGTGAGTGAGTATGGTTTTACGCCGCTTTTAGCAATATTCCAGCAATATCACGGCAGGGGACACCAGAAATGGGCTTCACACGTTGTACCCATGTCGGGAATCGAACCCGGGTCTTCGGCGTGACGAGCGAACGCTTTAACCACTAGGCTACCCGACCGCCCTGGCCCTAACAGATGACCCAGACCCCTTTTGACATGGCCATGTCTGGCTATTTCTATCAAGGTCAAGGTGATGGTGTTATCTGTGTGAACCTCTGCCCATGGGAAGCCTCAGATAAACCCTGGAAATAACATCTGAAGCACGCCAAAGTCCCATGTGAATACTTATGCGTGTTTTGTCCTGGTGGAGAAGTGAATGAAAAATACAGGCGACTCTTGTCCGAAGAGGAATGGAAGAGAAGAGCAAAGTGCTTTGGTCGATGCCGTGCACTCACACCCTGTGCCATCAACATTTTGGTGTTGTCAGGGCTGAGATGTACCTGATACGGATCAAGCAGCATAAATGTCAGCCCTCGGCCCACTTGCACAAAACGATCTTAGCGCTAAGACTATTGTAAGCCTATGTTAAAGTATGGGAGTTAAGATCATCTTAGGGCTAAGACCGCTTTGTGCAAGTGGGTCCTGGAGAATTGGCTCAGTTCAACCCCAGACACGGTGTTGTCAGGACCTGTCAAGGCTCCCTGTCAAGACGAGTTGCCAAGACGTATTGTTAAGACAGCTGTCAAGATTATACGCCGAGATGCCTGTGAATGCTCCGAGGCTCAACCTCTTATCTTTCACCTCAATTGAAAAGTAAGTATAGTTTTACACCAGAAATGGGCTTCACACATTGTGCCCATGTCGGGAATTGAACCGGGTCTTCGGCGTGACGAGCGGACGCTTTAACCACTAGGCTACCCGACCGCCCCCAAAACTCATATGAGCTGGCATAGACCTTAAACGGGTCATGAACACCATGAAAAATATGATGTTTGTTTGTTTGTTTAACGCCGCACTCAGCAATATTACAGCTATATGACGGCGGTTTGTAAATAATTCGAGTCTTGACCAGACAATTGGGATCGATGACATGCACCAACCAAGTCAGCGAGCCTGACAACCCGATCCCGTTAGTCGCCTCTTGCCACAAGCATAGTCGCCTTTTACGAGCGAGTGAGTATGGTTTTACGCCGCTTTTAGCAATATTCCAGCAATATCACGGCGGGGGACACCAGAAAATGGGCTTCACACGTTGTACCCATGTCGGGAATTGAACCGCGTCTTCAGCGTGACGAGCGAACACTTTAACCACTAGGCTACCCGACCGCCCCGCAGATGAAGATGGTCAGTGAATTTGTTGCAGTCCTCTTGCTTCACCCTCGGTGGCTGGTCCCCCTCAATTTAAGAGAGTAAGTGCCTTAAAAAATGACCGACAGACAGTTACCATTTCTTAATAAATACGTCAAAACCCGATTTCCACAATCCCACGCCATACATCCAGGGGTTCGATCAATTGTATTTTCCACTTTTCCACCATACCCCAAGACCCCCCTCCAAAATCTAAAATACAAACGGTTGTAATGTGACTGGAATCGTGTTGAGGAAGACTAGACTGCACAGTTTATTGCCTGTATTCGGGGGGGTGTTGTCGGGTAGCCTAGTGGTTAAAGCGTTCGCTCGTCACGCCGAAGATCCGGGTTCGATTCCCGGGTACAATGGGTACAATGTGTGAAGCCCATTTCTGGTGTCCCCCGTCGTGATATTGCTGGAATATTGATAAAAGCGGCGTAAAACCATACTCACTTAAACACTCACTCACTCACTCACTCACTCACTCACTCACTCCTCATGTGTATCACTTCTAAATGCCACTCAAAGACCCCAAAACAGCTGTTTAAAAAAGGACGGTTGTTGAGGTAATGATGGTTATATGAGAAAAGGCGGTTACTGACGATATCATACTTGACAAATGATAACAATTAACGACGGAGAGGGTGAGTGAGTTGTGCTTACCGCCGCATTGCGGATTATTCCTTTTGTATCAAGGGGCGGTCGGGTAGCCTGGTGGTTAAAGCGTTCGCTCGTCACGCCGAAGACCCGGGTTCGATTCCCGACATGGGTACAACGTGTGAAGCCCGTTTCTGGTGTGCCCTGCCGTGATATTGCTGGAATATTGCTAAAAGCGGCGTAAAACCTCTCACTCACTCAATCATTAGACAATGGTTTGGTGGTTACATGTCTCATAAAATCATTAAAAACGCATTTATCTTGGAAACGATGACACTCCCTAACTATTATTTGACAATATGTATTCTAATTGCGTGGATCGATGTTCATGATGTCAATCACCGGATTGACGACCCTGACTTATATACAGACCGCCGTCATATAGCCATACTACTGCTGAGTGTGGCGTTAAACAACAAACAAAAACATTTGACAATACAACAGACACCCCCCCCCCCCCCCCCCCCCCCCCCCCCATTCATGATGATGTAGGGGGTGAGGCGCCGCGATTCGCTGTGCAGAGTTGCGTCCCTTGGGCACGCCAGAAACCTATGATCGGTTCGAATCCCGGTTCGCCCCGGTGATGTTTCTAGATTTGTCAGCACCATACCCGTGCTCGTTGGTTTCACCGAAGTGGTAAACGTCGAAGACCTGCATCACTTAGGGCTTTCCTCCCACATTAAGCTGACACGCCGCGATAACTGGAATACTGTTAAAAGCGGCGTTAAACATAACTCACTCACTCATGGCGAAGTGTAGAATGTTTTGCGGGTGCTGTCCACCCAATGATACCCAAGTTACCGTAGAAAGGCAGTCGTAGTGTCAGCTGAGGTCATTTAGAAGTTTGATCATGTGTTCGAATTGCGGCAAATACGGTATTAGCACTGTGCACTGGTGAAAAAGCCTGATGGTAATGCAACCTTGGGTTGCCTGTCATTCGTGACAACTCGTGTTATTCCGGGACATGCCGAATAGCGACTCGTGCCCTTCTCGTGGCCATTTTTGCGACTTGGTTCCGCCTAAGCGCAAACGGGCATAGTTGAAAGAATTGTCAACTTGTTGCGTAATGATTACGTATATTTCCGCCATGTCAGATATATTCCAGAAGCTATTTTAACACATCGGGACTTACGGTATTTATACAGTATGATTGAACACATTTATCTGATTCTATGGTATATATTCAGATGCAAGACATGTGTGAAATCAAAAAATTATCCCCGAAGGATTCTGTGACCGAGGTACATTCTGATTGGTTTGTCGTATTTTCGCACAAAACATTCATCGAGGGGACGAGTCTTTTTGCAGGTTACGGAAAGGGGCGAGTGGTGACGAATGAACATTCATCGATAGGGGGACGAGTCTTCTTGCAGGTTACGGAAAGGGGCGAGTGGTGACGAATGGTTGCCTGTCAGTTCAAAAACACTAAACCGTAGCTAACTTCAGAAACATGATTTAGACGATATTTTCTTCTAGTCCCAATATCCATTCATTCCTTTCTTTCCACTCAGCGTTGATCTATTAACGGTTATGTACCTTGACGCCGAATATATGTTTCCGAATATCCGATTCCGTTCTCGGTGACCGACTGCCTCCGTGTTCTAGGGGATAGCGCGTTTGCCCGGGCACGGAGGATCAGTAAAGGTTTTAAGAAACTTCAAAGATCTGCATACGTGTATACTAATGATATAAACATATTTATTTCCATAAAGTGGAGGGATTGGCAAACAAGCAAATTTTGCTTATCTGAATGCCTCTCCCAAACATGATACATATACAAATAGCAATGTATTGAAAGTGAGAAATAGCATACATTGTATAATTGGCATTAAAGATAAGTATTGTTCTGTAAGTGTTTAATTACTGGATTATCTTCCATAACTACAGTTACATTATTTTTTACATTCAGCACAACAACATCGCAGTATCATATAGCAAAAAAACATCTCAGACAAAATCTCTAAATCGGCAAGAAGATAGAATAAAACTGTGCACCGATTTCAAAATTTCAAGATTTGTTACTGTCGTTAAATTTGAATTACCATTTAGAATTGAATTTAAATCGTAGCCTTTTACGAAACAATACATGTTTTGCCTTACTGTACTGTTTAAGGGACACGTAAGAAAGGTGTATACTAATAGAGCAAACAAACAACACAACAACAAAGATGGAATAAGGGCTCTGTTTATTACAGGGTTTATCATGAGTTATCACCATCCTGTCAAATTTTAAATTAATTCTGTTGTCCGCAATCCGCAAGTTCATGCGTTATATCAAGGTCAAAATAACGTGTGAAGTTTTGGTAATATTAAGCAGAGGTCATATAGTCTCTGCGTCTAGC